AATCAGTTGATTAAAATCACTGATTTAAATCAACTGATTTTTTTAAAAAAAATCACTGATTTAAATCACTGATTTAAATCACTTTATTTTAAATATCAAGTTATTCTGCTTTAATGAAATAAAATTGTTCATGTATCTTTAGTGATTTTAAAGTATTTTTAAATGTATCTTTAAAGAAAGAATATATAGAACATAGAAAAATATTTTATTGAATTGATGTAACTAGAGTACTTTCCTTATCTTTATTTTTGAGAACACAAGCACATTAGATTCTAACCCTTTGCGGCGCAACGCAATAATTTTTAAAAAATATGATGAGAAAACATTTTGAATGGCTTCAGTTCATTGTCTAGACATAGAATCTACAAAAAAAAAAGTTTTTAAAAAACTTACTTCATTCCGAGGGAGGGGGTCGTCCCCCTTAGATACAGCCACCTTGATACACTCAAAAATTATTGTTGAATATTACAGAAAATTATAAATTAAAACTTCAAGAATATTGGAGCAAAATTTTCGAGTTACTTTGCTAAAACTGTTAGAACTGAAAAATTTCTTATCTCCGAGTCAAAGAATTTTCCCAAACTTTGTCTAATAATTCCTATTCCGAAACAAAATTTCATAAGACTGCTATATACATTCTAAAAGGAGTACTATTAGCCCTATCCTAAACCTATTATTTTCCATTTATAGTTGAATTTAACGGTTCAGAAGTGAGTGAAATTAGGTGTGCCATTAATTGGCACACTTCACTGCAAAGGGTTAAATAAATCTCTAATGAGCAACACAATAAAATGCAAAGTATGAGATGCTCCTTTTTTTATAAAATGAAATAAATATTGTGAAAGGATCATGTTCACAAAGAAAGAACATAGTAAAATGCAGTGAGTTTCATTTTAATACTGGAGAAAACTAAATAGTGTTGGGGACAACAAAGTTTTTATATTGCAGTAATGTTCAAATGTAAGATAATTAAGTAATGCATATAAATGTTCTAAAAGAAATACAAACATCTACATAGTGCAATTTAAACTATGATCTATACTTATAAAAGGCAATGTTTGTGAGCATGTGCGCAATGTCCAGACAAATCTATCACACTTACAGTCATGAAATTTGGCACACAGGTAGTCCTGATGGTGACTCAATGCACCTCGAAGCCTGAATTTTAAAATTTTATCTAGAAAATTTTTTATTTAATGTTTTGGGTGAAAAAGATTAGGATTAGAGAAAGCTTCAAAACTTGTGTTTGTAATGAAACAAATGAACAGCTGAGTGTAAAATTCTCCAATATTCTAACATACAATAATATATCTAGTCAAGAAATGACAATTTTTTATATTTTTCCTTAGTAAAATTGTCTTATATTTCAAAAGTATATTATTTTTATATTTTAGTTCACAAATATTTTTTAAATAGTTGTTACATTTTTAAATTAAATTTTTAATTTGTTTTTTTTAAAAGAAAGTACAGCTTAATGACTGGTATGCTGTTATTTATTTATATATATATAATTCTATAACTGTAGGGCTCATTGTCCAATATACAAATGTTAAATATATATATTTAGTTTTAAAAAATCATTAAAATAAAAAAAATCTTGATTTAAATCAAAAAAATCTTGATTTAAATAAAAAAAATCCGATTTAAATCAAATAAATCGATTTTTTTGAAAAAAATAAAAAAAATCGACAATCCTGCCATTGCTTCAAGTACAATTTGCCCTTTTTAATTAAAGAAAAATGATGAAATCAATTAACTAAATTTGCAACCTTTTTTTTTTTTTTTTATCAATGATGGGAAATTCAATGATATGTAAAGTGAGTAACACAACTACCATTAGGACAATTAATGAAGACTTCAGTGTTGTGTTTTGCAAATTGATTTACTGTTTCCTTTTTCAAAATTTAATGCTCTTATTTCTTCAATCATTTTTTGAGATTTGATTCAATGGTATACTTTTATTTCAATTGTAAATTATTAGAATTTTTGGAAATAGGACTATTCAATTTTGGCAGAAGTTGAATGGATTACAAAAAGGTTATATCTGATTAGTTAATATCCCTAGGTCTTTTGCTGCTTTAAAAAAAGGCAGCCTTATCAATGTTTATGTGGATTAAGTAACTACTTGTTATTCTCTATATTGCTTCTTGTTTTAGTAATATGCATGAGTGTAACATATATATTATGACAGGAAAAAGAAAATGTATAAGATAATTCTTCAAAAATATTTCTATATAAATTATTTCATAAATGGAACTGTGTTCTTGAGGTTCTGTTGTTGAGATTGTACTTAATTGTATCTGGAACCAGATATTCACAGTTCTTTTAACAAAAATTTTAGAAGCATTTTAAGAATTATTGCTTCAATAAATAACAATATTCAATGGGGAAAGAATGCATAGTTACCTCTTTTCAACTCATCCTGCCTAGCCTTTTCAGCATCTTCAAATTTTTTTCTAATTGTCTCACGTGCTTCTTCCACTTTTTCTTTCATCTTAATTTGAAGTTCATATTTTTCATGAATGCTTTTCAATTTATCTTCTTGTGATTTAAGCTCTTTTTGAAGCTCATATCCCCTTTCAGCAAAATGCTTATTTTCATTTTCTTGGCCAGTAACTGCTCTATTCTAATGAAGAAATGCATAAAAAATTGTTAAAAATCTATAAGATTGCCTTAAAATTCAATTGAAACTTAAAACTTTTAAAGATGTTTTGATAAAATTAAACCACTTTATTTGATCTTACCAAATCAACAATATGTTCCTCAGTTTCACGGAGTAAATTCAACAGTCTTTCTTTCAGATCCTTTTGGTACTTTAACATCAAAGGCTAAATCAAGAAGAAAGAGAAAAGAATGATACATTATATTCTGCTGAAAAAACAACACCAAATTGTAAATTTAGCTAATATCATAATCTTCATATAAGAGTTTAAAATTTTGAAAAAAAAATCACATTCATGAAATTTCAATCATTTTACACTACAGAGACATTGTGAAAACTACAGATATTATAAACCTTTATGTATATCACTTGGAAGTCAATTGTCTGAAAGTAGAATACTCAATGCCGAAATGATTAAAGCTGGTAATTAATAAGTTTAATGGAAGTCATTCTAAGATGGGGATTTACAGTAAATTTCACATGGTATAGAGTGCTGCATAGGATGCAAGCAAACTGATGGAAAAGTCTTCCATTATAAATTATCTAACACTTTTCTATCAGTTTGTTTGGAACCTTGTGGCATATAGGTGAACAAATGATCAATCAAATTTCACCCAACTGTGTATCTTTCTTAGCTCACTAAACTCAAAGCAGAAAGCAAACTACTTTCACAATTATATACAGTAAAAGCTTAACTAACCGGCACGCTCGAGAAACTCCGATTTCCGGATACCTGAAAAGTCCGAATAGTTGAGTGTAACGGGAAAAATGTGTGTGTGTGTGGGGGGGGAGGGTGAGTAAATTGTAGCCTTTTATTTAAAGATTTTTTCGGCCAAATACTTTGTTTTTGTCATTTTGAAATGTGCATTAAATATAATACTTCTGTATCTTCCATAACATTGTATTTACAGAACATATGAAGATTTTAATTTAACATTGATGATTTAAAAAGAAATATATGATCTGTAGCCGAATTTTTACCGTAAATATATAGATTGTAACAAAATAAACATATAAAAATAGCCGACGAAACTGAAAAATATTCTACTCAGCAAGCATAATAAAACTCTTTTAAGTGATCATAAACAAATCCCAGATTGAATATCAAAACTAATTATCTTTTAGAAGATCGCAAGGGTTATTGCGCAATACGCGCACTTCCAATTCTCCTGCTCTTGATATTACGTAATCGGAATCAACTTCTGCCGGTATTTGGAGAGTAAATAAATAAAGGAAAAGAAAGAGACTTGCCAATCTGAAGTACTCCCCATGAGCTTTTTTTTTTACCGATTCTGTGTCTTTACCTTTTTTTTTGTAGATTTTGTTTTTAGATCTTGTTTTTTGGCAAAAGGTGAGAACCTTTTATTATTATTTTTTTTTTGGTTCTCACTTTTGCTTTTGAACCCACCCACCCCATAAAACAAGTCTGTATAAATCACAGTACTGTATATTGTTTGTTTGTTTTTTCCTTCTACGCTCCTCCGTGCGGGAACGGACGTTGCATTCCAGAAATAAATTGTCCACGTGAATGGAACGGCACGCGCATGCTAAATTTTGGCGCGCAGATGTAAATTTTTTAGAAAAACTCATTTTTTAATTTTTCCGGTTAGTTGAGCTTTCCGGATACTTGAATGCCGGATAATCGAGAGTTTACTGTAATCCTAATATGTAAAAAGCACAGTTTAGAACAATGTATAATAGCATTTTTCATCACATCTTTGTACAGTATGGATTCACAAAGGTGAATGACAGCCAAGTCATAAGTTTTCTACATATTTTCAACTATGATATACAGAATGAGCCCAACATTACTACAATTAAATCGTGAATAATTAGCATGTAATGCTGAGTAACTGACAAAAGTGAATGTAGATGAACAAGTGATCAACTTCCACCCTGCAGTGTATTTTCTTCAGCTCACAGATATCAAAGTAGAGAACAAACTACTTTGTAGTTAGGAGAATGTAGTTCAATTTCAAATAAATCAAAGTTCTTGAATTGCTACACAATAGCCTTATGTGATAGACCTTATCCAGCAGAAACTGTGGTACCAGGAAGTTCAACTGAGGATTAAGATAAGTTGAAAATGATTATTGTTAAATGTGAATGATACATATCAGGAACACTTCAGCCAGAATTTTCTCAGTATTTCATTTCTGAGAATTTCCTGAGTAATGTTATGCTATTCTTAACAAATGTAATTCCTGACAGTGATAGTCACAAATCAGATAATGTGACCAGAAGTGTGGCAACTTGGGAGAGAGTGAGGAGGGGTATAGATATCCTGGGCAGTTTAAGTATGTGCCATGGAGATAAAACATCAGTATGTTTATGCACCAACGGCCATACTATGCTGAAGACACTGATTCTCACCTGTTCACTGCAGTTAAGCAGCATTGGGCACGGTCAGTATTTGGGAGGGTGACCACCTGGGAACACTGCATGCTGTTGGTATTTTTTTTTCTTTATCTCTGGAGTCAGGGATGTGTCATAGAGTAAAGTACGTTTATACCACTTTTTAAGCCAAATATAATGAGGGAGTAATAATAATAAGACCATGTCCCAGGTGACATTTACACATGTTGAACCAGTGATGATGATTAAAGTAAAAAATAATATTATTCACCGTGCACCACTTACCTCACTACACCACTGAAAAAAATATTAGTAGTGTTAGAAATGTCAAGAAGTCAAATAAATTTTTCTTCAAAGCCTTGCCACCACTTTCATTTCATAAGAAACAAATTACACAATTGTTATTGTGTTACAATATAACAGTAAATCGGCAATATACAAAAACCGAAAGGCGTCGAGTTAATGTTTTGTTACTCGACATTTCAGGCCACCCATTGCCTCCTTACTGGATTAATGCCTCAAAGAAACATTCTAACTTGCTAAGAGATGTACATCTGTGTTTTAGATGAGTAGAAACATCAGAGTTTCCCAAGAAGGAGCCCATACCTCACCTGGGGCAATTTGATCGTTAAGAGGGGGAATGCAATATCAAGAAGAACTCACAGAAATGCAAAATGATGAGTCAGTTAAAATTTTATTTAATACAAAAGGGACAATAGTATAACTTTGTAAGGAAACAAAAATCAAATATCCAGATTCAACAAATGTGCAAGAAATCTATTGTTACTGTTTCCATCTTCATACTTAGCTGAATGTGGATTTAGTGCCATAAATGATTTGCTGCTAAAAAAAGAAATTGGCTGGATATCACACAATGGGGAAATTTGAGACTGAAGCTAAATAAAATGGAACCTAACATACAATCTCTTTGCAGAACCATCAAGCAACAGATCTCACTAAATTTAAATAATAAATAACTAATAGGAATTAAAGTAATATAGAAAAATCTTTCATAAAAACTACCTGAATTCAGTTTTACATTATATGTTTTGAAAATTTACTTACTGTGTTTCTCAACAATTTGCAAATGATTTCTTCCCAAAACCTATAATTTAAGTTTTTTCAGTCAACAATTTAATTTTTGAATATTAAAAATTATGTATATGTAACATGGGGGCATGAGAAGTTTAGAATGTCTTAACTGGGACATAGAGGGGAAAAAAAAATACTGAGGGAAACACCGAGATACATCGACATGTAATTTCTATTAATAATGGAAACTATCCTTTATCCACTCAAAAAAAAAGAAAAAAAAAAGTTACAGCTCTTAAAAAGTAAGAAATTGAGAGAAGGGACTATGGTTTCAACTTTACCCAATTTCTGTCAAATATCTTTCAAATAAGATTGGCTACAGTTTTTGAAAGCAGTAGATGAATAAACACTTGGTAGTGGGAATAATTCATTTGACCGAAAACTATCAAGAAACTAAAGACCATAATCTTATTAGAAAGCTTTGTAGGACAATTTCATAATTCATATAACTTACAATATGGATAATAAAATCTACAAATTTTATTATTTTACACACATATATAAATATTCAAAAATTACATACACCTTATACATTCTCATGATATTTAAATTAGGCATTGAGAATCTCTTACACGAGATATGAAAGCAAATTAAAAAAAAAATGTTAATTTAAAAAATCAGACTACAAATCAGAATTCATATAACTTAAAATATGGATAGTAAAATTTTCATATTTCAATATTTTACACACATACATAAATGTGCAAAATTACATATACCTTATACATTCTCATGATATTTAAATTAGGCATTAAGGATATCTTACATGAGATATGAAAGCAAATTTAAAATATCAAGGGACATATACAGCCTCACTGGCGATAATTTTGTTTTGGTGACTTTTTTCAACAGCTTCAATATAGGGTCCCATTACCGATATTTTGTTTTGGCAACTTAACAATACAATGTTCGGTTAGGTGACAAAAAGTCACTAATACAAGATTATTGCCAGTGATGCCATATATCAAAGCTGTTCCAAATTTAAACTTTAAAAAGCAGAGTACAAAACTTACATGGCTAGAATCCAACACTTTATGAGATTTTTCATCACGATTTTCATGCATTGAAACTTTGGCAGTATCCATTGCAGGAGGTTCTTTCAAATCTTCAGAGCTGAATTGATGCAATATATAAAAAAAATTTACCTATATTAGAGTTTTAGGACAGAAGATAACATATATTTCTGTTAGCATGACAGCAGTCAAAAATATGTGTTAAAGTTACAAAATACAGAAATTTTAAAAGGTCAAACATGCAATTTTATATTTTGTCAAGTTCATAACATAAGCCTACTGAACCTGGCATTTTTACTTATAATTTCAGTGATATTTTATGCCAACATTAAGTTTAGTGATATGCTGACAGCTAATTGAAAAGTATCTATACTTTTGTCAAAGAAATAAAAAGAGTGCATTAAATGATAATATAACAAATATGTATGAGGAATTCATATCAAAATGTGTAAGAATATCAATATAAATAAAATATTATGTAGAAGGAAAATTTTATGTCATAAAATAGTAAAATCTGCATAGATAGCTCTAAAACAAATACTGGGTACTTCTAATGTACTCTTATAAATTTTTCTATACAAAAAATAATGATATTTTAAAGTAATATTTAAATAGTTTTGGAAATTACAACTGAGTAAAAAAATTAACAATATAAAAAAATCTCATGATTTATTAAAACTTACTCAGGAACTGATAGATAGTCTGTTGTTGCAGAGACAGATGTGACTGTCTGTTCTTCATCTGAACTTGCAGACGACATGCTTTATTTAGATGAATCTGAAAATTTGTTCATATTGTATTTGACACTTTCTTGATTTACAAAGCAAAACATGTATAAATCTTTTAAAAAAAAACAACACCTGTAATGCAATTATATAAATGCCTTATTTTAAAGTATCATTCAAGAATGTCTCATTTTTAAAAAGATTAAAATACAAAATAGGATTTAGACTACAATTTACTTCATTTTGGATTACTAGATTTTTCTTTTTTCCCCCAATAGTGACAAATGTAAAAATACTTCATGATCCTATTATAAAAAGTAAAAAAAAACACAACTAATGTTAGATGTTTACGTAAGTCAAACATTAATTAAATATTAATGAAAATAAAAGGAAATTTGACTAAAAATATTATTTTTGTAAAATTTCAACAAAATGCTTAAAATTCAGATAGATTTTCGAATTTTTTCACTTACCAACATCAAACATTCTGACAGAAGATTAGTTTGATTTAGTTAATGACAGCAGCATTTTCTATCAATATTTTTACAACCCTGAAATTTGTGCATATAAACTCAGTTGGGGTTCAGAATCATAACTTAAGTAGTTTTGATTTAGACAAGCCAGTAATTATAATCATGCAATATTTTAAATTCAAAGATAAATTACAATAAATAATTCAGCATTTTCCTGCCTTTTGTAGATTTTAGTAAAGGTAATTAGTTTGTTTCTGATTTTTTATTTTTTGCCATTCCTTTATTTTTGATAATTATTCAGAGAAGAATTTTTGTTTTAATGAAGAAACTATCATTAATGGTGCACTATGAAAAAGGCTCTCATCTCATTTGTTTTCAGAATAATAAGGTAAATGCTCCAGTAGTGGGCCACTTAAGGGTATTTCCTCAATTATCACCTAAACTTTTGAGAAGTTTCGCTAATCTCTATTTTTTTATGGTTGTTCAAACTTTTATCTAAAATAATAATCACCTGAAATATCAAAATAATTGTAATATAATTTTTAAAAAATTAAAAATTTAGATCACTCCTATGCACCAGAAGTGGGCATAGCAAACTTTTGATGTACCAGTAGTGGACATACCAAAAGTGGGCCACCCAGATTTGTCAATTGTGCCAAAGAAAAAATAATAAAAGCATTATATATAGTAATAATAACAATATATTAACATTATACACTATAAAAAATGCGATAAAAATGGCTTGATATAGGCGAAATCTTTTATTTATAGATTCTAGTCGCATGAGATTTACATTTTTTCTCCAACAGCTAATTTTTTTTATTAAAGGTATATGCTAATTATCGATCTTTCATTTTAAGTTCTGTTTGGGGCATTATGGATATTAAATCTTGATATTTTATGTTGAATAAAACTTTTTTTCCTTCTATCATTTTCCCTCTGCAGCCAGAAAAGAGCCCTTTTAAATGGTGATGGAATATTTTTCGATGGTCCAGCAATGCGATATTTATTATTGTCTGCCTCGTTACAGAGCCCAACTAATTCTTGAATATCAGTCTTTTCCTCAACAGTACTATAAAATATTTATTATTTAAGTAATTGGTCAGATTGTTCCATTAGTGTACCAGTAGTGGAAAATTATTGTATCAGAAGTGGGCCATGTGGCCCACTACTGGTTCTGATAAAAATAAAGCGAATCTAATTAAATAAAGACTTTACAAGATATAACCTTCTTATTAAACATCCAAAACAGTCTATTTTGAGAGAAAGCATGTGTTTCAGTACTGGCCTTCCTAGGCCCACTACTGGAGCATTTAGTAAAACATTGATCCAAAAGTGGGCCACCCTTCACTATCCACAAATTATCAATATTATTTAATTTAAAGATAGTTTATAATACATTCATTATATAATCAAATAGTATCAATAACAATTCATTTTAAAAACAAATAGAATGTATGCTAAAAAATAGTTGAATAAAGAGTTGCCTCTTAAGGAAATCACTAAGAATAAGCTGAAAATGCTTCTCTCAGAGACCAACTTCAGCAACAAACTTTCTAGCTCCTAACTAAACAGGAAATAAAAGCTGTGCATTTGGTATTTAGTTGATAAGGGTTTCAGCCTACCAGAGGCATATCTCTTATTTCATTGGAATGTTGGAATTTCTTGTTTTTCAACTTAAAAATTCAAGTGGCCCACTACTGGTACATGGCCCACTACTGGAGCACTTACCTTACCTTTTTCGCAAATCAATGTTGTAGCAGGTGAATTTTCATATTTGCCAATATTCTT